TCCCTTTCAAGGACCTCAGTGGAGCACAGTGTGGATAATGCCTGTAAAATCCCTTCAACTCTATAGCATCGCATAGTCATAGGACTCATAGCTTATCATATACATTAGTGTTTCCCACATGCAACTAGAGGGGATTATATAGAGGCAAAGGCCATGGGGAGAGTGTCCGCCTGAGATTCTTGCACCACAGATGTTAGGAAAGGAAAGCCGCATGAACTCTGCCAACATCAGTTCTGTTCTCCACATCATCCACTCAGCTACTGGAAGACAGCGGCCACAATTGCTATTTGGTACCTTCTGCCAGTTTCTTTTACATACTATAGTTTTCTGGTAAACAGATGACCCTCCGATACAGCAATTCCAGCACTAAATATAATTTCCTAGAGGCTTCCCTAAAAGCACAAATCAGAGCAGGACTATTTTCATTTCTTCTATTAAAATATATTTCTAGCAAGACATTCTAGGACTAATTATTTCGAGCACCAACAGGCTGACAACTAAAATGTCGTTAGAACCGAGCCGAGCACTTCGATCACGGTTGCACGCTCAGGTCCCACCCAAAAGTCACTTAGGCTCTCGCCCTGCACCATAACAACAATGTAAAACAGCAACTCAATAGTGGAGCTCATTGTATCACCTATGACAGCTTCTCTCCCAAAATCTAGCTTGAAAAAAAATTTTCAATATTAATTCTGTCAGCTGTAGTGCTAGCTCTCTCTCACAGCGAGGTGTCAGCTGAAGACTGATAAGCTTGCCTTCATCCAAATTGTTAACATAAACGTTGACAGGAGAGAGTCACGAGGGCTAGTTATTCACTTTCAATTTTCACCTTTTCCTATTAATCCCTGAGTGTTCAGGGGGTGAGCGGGGAAATGCCTTTTAATGGAGGATAAGGAATATGTGACAATGCGTGATTTGATGTAAATGCTCAAGTTTCCTAATTTTTCAAATCAACGCTTCACATTTCATTTCACTTCGGAATGACAGAACCCCAGCAATTATCGTTCTCTGAGTTTTAATCAGAGAAACGGGACATACCCTCAACAGCACATTTACCTAATGTACATATGCCTGCATTTTTCAATTTGCACCTCAAATGTGCAAAGCGAATGCACTCCTTTTTATAGCACTGCCTACATTTTGTGCATGCCCCACCCAAAATGCATAATTCAGGGGGGCGACAGGCATTATTTTCAGGCAAGTCACAAGGTGCAAAGTGGTTCCCACCATCACCTGGCTGGCAGCAGAGCTCAGCGCAGCCCCACCTCTGCTGTCTGAGTACGCAGAGCTCCATGGTTTTGCAGAAGCAAATGAGCATGTGGCCAAATGCCCTCCCGTCATGTCTGTGTCGTCAACTCCAAGGAGTCGCTTTTCCTTCCAGGGCTGCTCTCAAGTGGAGTTTTCCCACCTATGAGGAAGGAGCTGTGTGGATTAGGCACTTGGACACAACAGCCAGGCTTTGGGACTGATGAGGGTAGAGGAAGCCCTTGGGGTTCAGTGGTGGCCGGGCAAAGACCTTCAGCAGAAAAGCAACATTGTGAGTGGCTTGGCCGTGGAGGAACCTGGCACGCCCAGGTGTGCCCGGATGTGAAGAGACAGAATGGTGTTTCTGACAGGCGCTGGTGTGAAACTGCACTGTAGCTCACTGGAACATCCCATCCTCTTCCCTATGAGGTCTGACAGAACAGTCAGGAGAGAATCTGTGTGCGCTTACACATACACACACACATGAACGCACACACACACCTGTACATGTGCATGCATACATGCATGCAGGAAAGAAATACAAACCATACAAAGAACTGTGATGCATCTGAGACCCTGAGCAGCCCTGTCACTCCTGCTCACATTTTCCCCCTTCTATTTCTCAAACCTAAGTGACAGGGAGAAAAAAAAAAAAAAAAAAAAAAAAAAAAAAAAAAAAAAAAACCTTTCTAAAAAACCAAAGATTTTTCCAGAAAATCTTGACAACTCTATTTCACAGAAAACATTTTTGGAAAAGCTACATTTTGGAAAAGTCTGCTTCTTGAATGCTTGCCACGATGCCCAGTTGTACTGGGTTCACTATCACATCTGCCCAGGAACTCAGGCAGCGTGGCCAGCCCCACCAAACTGGCCACTGGTGCAGGTCAGCCCGCAGCCACAGACATTTCATGCCCATCCTGCAGTCTGCCTTCTGAGGACCTCAAGAGAAGATGAGGAAAGCTGTCTGTGACGGGAGGGACAAGCTTTTGGGAAAAGAGAGGAAAACTAAAAGGAGCCAGCCAGGTATTGTGGCATGCACCTGCATTCCAGCACTCGGAAGGCTGAGCCCGAGGGCTGCAAGTTTCAGTACAACTTAGCAAAACTTTATCATAAAATAAAAAAATAAAAAAAAAATATGGCTGGAGATGTCGCTCAGTGCAAAAGTCCTAGGTTCAATCTCTAGTACTGAAAACAAAACTAAACCAAAACCAAAGGAAAAGGAAAAAGAGGCCCTCAGAGACAGACAGTAGTAGGGAAGGTGGGCTTTGCGTGGAGAAGGCTGGAAAGAAAACTGAAGTCTGTGAAGTGGGGGTGCCCATCGCCCAGGCCGTCCTGCAGGTGAAATGAAACACTGCTGGTCAGAGCCCACCGCGCGTCCAAGGCAGGAGCCTGAGCTGCCAACTCCCTAACCTCAGGAGTCGGAGCCTGAGAACAGGAAAGAAGTGGGGCTGGAGTTCCACTCTAGAAATGAAAACAAAGCTTTGTTTCGGTGCTGAGCTCAGCAAAACCACCCGAGACCGCGCTTGAATAATTCACGGGCCTTCCCGCGTGCTTAGCTTCTTCCTGGGTGTTTGACTGAAGGAATTTATTGTCTGTTCCACAGTGTCTATTTCTCCCCTGAGATCCTCCCACACCACGCCAAACGACTGCTCCTTTAAAACAATGAATGCAAATAGAAGTCAGGTTTGGGGGAGGGGAACCCCTTCAGGGAAGGAAGAGCTGCAGGAGTCACTGACAGGCAGCTGCCAGGGGGCTGAGCCACGCCCAGGTTTACAATGACTTACTGAATCCTTTTAAAAATTAATTTGTAAAAACCACAAGCGGACTACTTCATAGGAAAACTCAAACGTCTGGCTTCCCTTCAACGCAGCCGATCTGACCACCCTGAGCTCTGGCTCGCAGGAGAGCTGAGTCACAGCTTCCTCTTTAGCCTGTGCACTGAGGTCACCTCAGTTCCCACGGACCCACCTGACCCTCGGATTACCAGATGAAGCCAGATTTGCCTCTGCGCTCTGCACCCAAAAGTAAGGTTTGTGAAAGAGAAATCTGCAACCAGCTCCACCCCCGGAGGTTCCTGAGGAGATCCCAAACAGGGCGTCTTGTTTTGGTGGATGTCTCTGGAAATGTTTGATTGCTCAAAGAAAAGTAGGGAAGAAGGAAGAGTCCTGGAGCGTCCTCTTGCTCCCTGATATCGCGAGAGTTAAAATACAGAGCAATCAGCCTCAGGATACTACGTCTAGTTAGCAAGAGGAAGGATCAGCATAGTTTTCCTGAATACTTATCTGCAAGTTCACAACACATGGGAGCTAGCAACACAGTCAGCAAAGAACACAGGTAAACAGATTTTTTTGAATGCCTGGAGTCCAAAACTTGCAACACACACTACTAGCACAGAGCTCAGAATGGCATAATGCAAAATTATGGGCCAATATTTGCAATGTTAAACCTAGCAGCCACATTAGAGAAGTAAAAATGAGCAGATGGAATCAATTTTCATCGCTGCTTCTATTCAACACAGTCTATCTAAAATAATTTTAAGCATTTCAATATGTAACCAATATGAAAATCATTCATAAGTTAGTTTCCATTTTTTACAAAGTTCTTCAAAATCTAATAAGTATTTTATGAAGACAATATATTTCATGTTAGACTTGCTACTTTTTTTCAAGGCTCAAAACCACGGGACACCAGGGGCTGTTTTACTGGTCTGCACAGCTATCCATGTAATCTGCACTGCATCGCGTTTTCCTCAAATTAACTGAAGAGACTAGGTGGTTAGAGCAGGTATGGATTTCCCACAGCACTCATAGATAAGCTGGGAAGCCAGACAGGAAGCGGAAACAGAGGCCCTTCTGATATAAGAACCAGGTCCTCTGGGCTCTCTTCAGGCCCCTGTGCCCTCCCTGTCCCTTCTTGTCTCCTTATTTCCATTGCCTAACTGGGAATCCTATTGCAGTGCAGGCAGCCTGGCATGCAAAGGGACAAGAAGTGGCTGGATTCCCAGCCTGTCCTTTGCAGGCTAATGGCTTGCGGCAAGTTAATCTCTGGTCTCAGATTTTTTTTTTTTTTTCTGTAAAATACAATTAGCTCCTTCATGACGGAGTTTTGAGGATTAAATCATAAATGCAAACTCCTCAGCGCCAAACAGACACTGTAAGAGTTTTCAATTTTAATGAATATTTTTTTAAGATTTATGTAAAAGAAAGAATCAGACGTGACAATTTCTTTTTAATATGTTCTAAAATCCCAGGCTGTGTGCATCACTTCCTCAGCACTTGGCGTTCGCCATTTCTCTCGGTCTTAGTGAAAAGCCTGACCCCAGTCCCACTGCGAGCCCAAGTTATGCAGGCACAGCAAAAGGAGAGTCAGACGAGAAAACCCTTCCATTCGCACCAGTTACACGGTGAAATTGCATATCCAATTGCAGCATGACCTAGATAACAAGGAGACACACCTGGATGGGCACCATGTGACAGTGTATTCTGCCGGACTCCACAAATGTCCAGACAGCACCATCTGGGCCACTCTCTATGGGGACGGCAATGTGCTACCACTCAGGGGACGTGGCGTCCTCAGCACCTTCAGAATCCCCCTCCATATAATTATGTCTCGCAGCTCTCACAAACCCAACCAGACTTCACATTTTCGCAGCCCAGGACTACACCATCAGAGCAGTTGTCTGTCCTTTCATTTACCTGTGTGTGTAGTGCAGCTCATAGACTTGGGGAAACCAGAGAAAAGAAGGGGACACTCACCAGCTCATTCTCCTCTCCTGGGTTGAGCAAAGCCCGATGCTCCTTCTGACAGGTCCCCTCCATCTAGAGCAGTCGGGTTAGGGTCCCTCCTGGCCAACTCCTGGGGAAACGTTCAAACCACCTTCCCGGCTGTGAACCCGGAGGTTACTAGTCACTGCTGTTTGCAGGTGCTTATAAAATCTGCTGGCAAGCACCTTGCTTATTAGACCAACAATGGCAAGAGAGGAAATCCTCTCAGCCACAGGATTGGTCTGTTAATCTATCCGCTTGATGTGTGTTTTTCTTCCTTGTGTTTATTTACTAAGCTAGATGTGAGAGCCTCCAGATTTAAGGAATGATGGGGGAAAGTTATCAAGCCAGAAAGATAAATAATTTCACACACTGTCCATAAGTGTCTCAGCCAATGAATTGGAATGGCTACTCTGTTAAAAACCTGAAAGAGAGGAAAAACCAGTGAATGATATATGAAACCTCTATAAAATTAAAACCAAAAATGAGCTCAGTAACAGGATTGGTAAAGAGAATTGATGGGAAGGAGGTTGGCTTATGATAGGGAATCAGGAATCTTTATGGAATCAGAAAAGCCAGATTTCTAATCTTTGCGTGACTGACAACCTCCAAAAAAAATCACTTAAAATCTGAATTTCAGGATTCTACTGTGTGAAGCATCAATCCTAATTATAAGGTTAATAGCAGGAGATAAGATGATATTTATAAAAGGCCAACTATAACCCCTATGGCACTCACTAAGAGATAAGCAATCATCATCGTAATTAACACTAATCAAGAAAAGAGATACTTTTGAAAGTAAACTATCATAATAAATTCACTTCTTTTTCTTTCCCTTCCAGTTTCCTTTCACAGCTTACAAAAAGTTTTCAAACAAGTGAAGTAAATGGAAGAAGGAAGATCTAGAAAGCCTGAGTGTTAGGATATAAGCCGAATCTCTGCGTGCATGTAATCGCCACTGGATTTGATGTTTTCATTAAAAAAATAAGAAAGCTGGGTCATTCTAGTGTTACACTGTTCATGTGAAAAACTTGACATTTTATGGTCTCTACTTGTGTTATGGAAGTCAATCAAATATTTACCACTTTGACTATGGTACAAAATGTACTCGGAGTGAACACTATTAAGGGAGGTACCTGACTGTTTCCATTGATTGACACTGCTGTTGGTTGCCTCCAGTGGCACAAATGTCTAACTTGTCACACCGGAGAGGAGTAAGTGCTGCCCAGAGCGAGACCACGAGGCTGATGAGAATCCAGAACCATCTCCAGCTCTCAGCTCTTCATGCCAGTGAGGCTCTGGAGATTCCCATACTAAAGAATCTTGTGCTACCACAAATGTTGCCACCAACGATAAGGAAGAGCTCAGGTTTAGAGAAAAGAGTTCTGGTTTCAGGAAAATTTAATTAAAGACCTGATTGACAGTTATCATTCACATTTTTAGCCACCAACTATTGACTCATATTTCTTGCTTTAAAAAACATCAGTTTTGTCCAGACAACATGATGTCAAGTAAAAGTACTAAAGATGACTCATGATTTGTATAAAAGTGAGTGCATGACCTTGATTTAAACAGTGAAAGATGAGTTAAAGCCAGTGTGAGGCAAGGAGATTCTGGAGATTGTCCCACGGCTGAAAGAGGAAGGACATTTTTGTTTATGCATTTGTTTTCTACTCGTTCCTCTCTTTCTTCCTTTGAAAATTTATGTGTGGACACAATGGGGAAAAATAGGTTAGGAACAGGAGTGTCTCCACCTCCAGTTCATGATGCTTATTAAAGGAAGAACTAGTGTGTGTGGTGGAGGGAATTAGAACCATGCCTCACCTTCCAACTTGACAAAGACAAGTTTCCTAATATCTACTTTCCATGGTCTAAAGAGAAACAAATAGGTTTTCAAGCCAGATGTGGATGTCTTCTCTAGATTTCAAACTTGCCATTTGCTCAGTTGACCACTGGAGGGTAACTGGAGCATTTGGCTTCATGAAAAATGTCTAGCATCTGCTCCAGCAAGGTAGCTGACTGCTGTAACAGTTTTCAGTGGTGTAGCTTAGTAGAAATGTGGTCCAAGTGTGTGGTGGTCAAGAAGGTATTAGTGGAGCAGTGGAAGTGCTGTGTCATTTTTTGCAGTGCTTTAGGGACCTCGTTCTTTCCATCTGTGCCTCCACCTTCTTCAACATGTGGTTTCCCAAGCTGCCAAGATATTGAGTGTTTGAATGTGTGAAAGTTAGTAAGTGAAAATTTCTAGGAACTAGTCCTAGAAGAAGTACTTTGTACTTTGCTAAAGACTGGCTAGATCTCAGTCAGATAGAAATTTAGCTCAGCATGTGAGCTACATGATCATTGCTATGAAGGACAGCAAGTTGGTTTCATGGTCACCTAACAGACTTTGCAACATAGACCCAGGGATAATCTCAGCAAGAAGTAAAGCAATAGAGTGTCCAGGATCCCAAGGGAATTACAGTCTAGTGAAAGAGAAAAATCATGAAGAAGTTACTGTACATACAAAACAGAAGTGAGAGAGACTTCCCTTGAGCTCCTGAGAAGCTCCACAGTGGGGGATAGAGCAAGGAGTAAACCACAACATCTCATTAATTGAGTGGATCTTGTTAGCTCTTTGCAACAGCCACAAAGGTGAAAAAGATGCCTGGATGTTGGTGTGTGACTAATCCTCCGTTTGAAATACAGAATCAAAAACCTGTTCATCAAAAGATTGTGTAGATAGAACCAATCATTCCTTGGCTTCTTCTGCCCATAACCACCACTGGACCAAAACGACCCATGTGTTCTCTACAACTTGAACAAAGCAGACTGAGTCCCCTTTAATTAAAATAAGAAACTCTTTTACCAGCTCGAGGTGAAAGGGTAATGGTGGCCCTTCACATTCATTGCTTTAAATTTCAATTTGGGGGATCAGTGAGATGAGAATTTGGTGAGATGTATCCAGTTGCATATACATAGAAGTGAGATCACATCTGGGTACAAAAAAAAAGAAAACGTCCAAATTGTAAAAAGAAGTCTTTCCAATTATCTCACAGCTTCTTCCCTGTGTATTAACTTAACAAATAGTGCTAGGATTGAAGAGGAGACAGAGATGAAGTAGACAATGATCCTAGCCTTGGTGAGTTCAGGTCCTAGAAAGAAATAGAAGAAATGATGTATTTACCGGAGGAGAAAGCGCTGGGCCAGAGAAAGCACTGGAAAAGCAAAGGGACTGTCCAGCTCAAACTCAAAGGCTGAGAGTGTCTAGCCTGATGTTCAGCTATGGTCACAGAGTACTTTGAGACTCTGATAAAATATGTAGATATTCCTCTCTACCAAAAATAATATACACATGCATAAATGTGTACTTATATCAAATTTTACTTACCCTTTATCTGATCCAATCCTTGCAGTCGTAGTTCATTAATTTGCTGAACGTATGCATTGCACACTTTTTATCAGGTACTTCTCAGGCTGTGAGGAGGATAGCAGTGATCAGAGACGCTAAAAGGCACTGCCCATGGGAAGCTGACACTGTAGTGGGCAAGGCTGATGCCCAAAGCCAACAGAAAGCATAGCTGAGCGGTGATGTTGCTGGGGAGGGAATAAGGCTAGGAACATCAACAGGCAGGGCTGTTGGTGGGGTGGAAGGTGCGGCAGGTAGGGGGAAGGGGGCAAGCAGAATTGCATTTTAAATAAGGATCTGCAAAAATCTGAAGAGCCAAGGGCACATTTAAAAAGCTTTGCCCAATTTGCTACCTGGGAAAACAGGGTTCCAGCTAAAAAAAATATCTCGTGTCAAAGCCTTGAAGTGGAGGAGTGGGAGAGAAACCAGGGAGCCTAGGAGTGCCTGTGCAGGAGATGAGGTCAGGATTTGAAGCAGTGAGCTGTGACCTAGCTAATTTGGCACTCAAAGAAATCTCTCTGTCTCTGTCTCTGTCTTTCTCTGTCTCGCTCTGTCTCTCTCTGTCTCTCTCCCTCTCTGTGTCTCTGTCTCTCTCTGTCTCTCTCTCTCTCTCTCTCTCTCTCTCTCTCTCTCTCTCTCTCTCTGTCTTTCTGCACTACATATCAAGCATTACAAATTCCTCATCAATTGAGAAAACATTTAAAAAGCAAATACAAAGATGAGTAAGCTTCATTTCCCACTTGGGCGTGCTGGGAACCAGCCCGGGGGCCTAGTACTGTGCACTTCTGCTGTGTCTGTGTGGATCATGGCTATTAGGTAAATGGTGACAACCTTGAAAAAGAACATAGTGCCAGTCCACATTTGGAATTCCCAGTGAGACCTCCCTGGAATGGCTTTCAGACAAAAATAGGAATTAAATTAACTGAGTGTCCTTTCTACTGACAAGCTAAGAGAAATCAGTGAGGTAAGAAGACCCAGGGAGTGACAATGGCTATTGGCTGTCACAGCAATGGCCAGTGTTTTACTTTTCCAGGGCCCTTTGACCTAGGAGCACAAGTGAGGGCTACAGGATGGAGGGATGGCCCATGATTGTCCTCAGTGCTCAGGAACCTAGGGAACTGGGAACCCACAGGACTCGGGCCCATCCTCAGTGCGGCACAATGCTGGATACTGTATTTGGTTCCTGGCCCCACCCTCCCTGTGCTGCTCCCCTGCTCCCAGCTACCACGGACTAAGCAGCTTCCTCCACTGTGCCTGTCCCCTGTGTGCTTCTGGCTTGAAGCTGCTGACCATGGACTTAAAACTCTGAAACAAAAAGCCAATGAGCCAGATTGGACCTTTCGTCCATCGACAGAGAAGAGAATCAATATGCACAGACTTTGAAATGCAATAGCCAGAAAAAAGACAGGAAACTGTCTCTGTTAGATTTTATATAATTATGCCAGTCAAGAGAAGTTTTAAACATAAAAAATCACTATACATAAAAAAGCAATCATTTCATAATTATACTATTTTGTACAAAAGAAGAAAATATATGCATTGTAATAATAACATTGCAACAAGTGATGAATGAATTTTAATAGAATCAAAACACCTACAAAAGGCAAAATTAGTCAATCATTGAATTATTCCAATGATGTAACATTTCTTGGCTCACTCTTTAGTCTTAAAAACAACAAAACTAGGCTGGTGGGATAGCTCAGTAGACTAAAGTTCCCTCTTAGGCA